CCTAACCCACCTTTTTCACTCAGCTCCTACTTAGACAAAGCTGCCAGTGAAATGAGGTGTTGGTTGCAGATGCTCAGTATCTTTCAGGATAAGGGCCTTTATTTGTGCTCCTTCTCAGCTCAGGCAATGAATGGTTTATCAGATTTAGACAAACACCCCATGCCACCATCAAATGAATGCCTGTTTATTCAAAACCATACCCCAATTAGCAACTTCTAGAAGAAAGAATGATTAGGATCAGAAATATTTGTCTATATAATTCCACATGTTACCAGAACACAGGTTAACACTTTTAATGCATAGATTTTCTACAGTGCATTCATTTTTCTTCCTTTTCTTTAACACACACTAAAACAGGGGTGGGCAAGATACAGTTGGCAGGCCACATCCTGCCCACCAAGCAGTTTGATCTGGCCCACAGACCACCTTGCTGTGCCCCCACCCTTAGGCCAATACAGGCTTGGGGGAGGGGAAGTGTGCAAAGTCTCCTTCCCCTGCCAGGGGTGCACGGTGCCTAGAGGGAGCTGTTCAAAATGCCTAGTGGTTCCCTCTAGGCGCTGTGCACCCATGGCAGGATGGGGCGGAGGTGTGCACAAAGTCTCCTGCCCCGCTAGGGGCACGCAGCACCAAAGGGAACCGCCAGCTTTTCAAAACAGCTGGCAGTTCTCTCTGGGCACTGCGCGCCTCTAGCACAGTGTGGTCAGGGGCTGAGAGATTGTGTGTGCTCCTCTGCCCTGCAAGAGAGTGCACAAAGTCTCCTCTCCCCTCATGTCTCCCCCACATCTGGCGCCTATAGGGAACCGCCCCTTCTGCCTATGCCCTGCCCCTTCTGGGGGCAAAGCCGGCCCAAGAACCATTACCAAAATTGGTGAAGTGGCCCCCCTATAAAAATTATTGCCCACTCCTGTGGTAAGATGTACTTTTGCTTTATTCCAAGAGAAGCCTGCTCAGATAGTGGTTATAAGCCTAACAAAAATATCAAAGTACTAGTATAAATCCAATTGTGGGGGAAAATCAACACTAGACACATACACTTGATTGACTATATGCCTCACTGAGCACCCTCATATACAAAATGTATTTCTAGGAAATGAAATATGCAATATTGTACATATCATGAAAATCTGGACTATGAATTTTCTGAATCCTCCATAGTTACCGATCACTAACAATATCAAAGCTACCTGAAACATTGCCTCCTGCCTTCTTAAAAAACAAAACAAAACAAAACCTACAATAATTCCTCTGTGTGGCAGGGTATCAAATAGTTATCTCTCTGGAATTGTCCCAACAG